CACATGTGCAGCTGGAGGTGTCAATGGCAATGGAGAAGAAAAGTCACCCTCCCATCCTGGCAAACAGGCGGGAAAGTCAGCGAAAATCGCTGTGTCTGTGATCTCTGTCGCAGCTTCGTGACACATGGTCGCAATGCGAAAAGGTGTAATCTGTGGCGCGGTCGAGTTTGAGTGGGGGGTTGAGTTTCTCGGTGGTTGGCAGTGTGAGGCTGCGGAGGCAGAGGGGGTTTCTGAGTTTTCTCTTTGCACGTTCGGCGAACGGGTAAAAGGTGGTTTTGGGAGCGACAGGGAGGCATGTCCTCGACTAGCGCAGAACACTTGAACAATACAGGCACGACCAGGCAACTTTCGAGCCTGCAGAACCCTGTATGTGGCAGGCAGAGCGTCCAAAAAAGAGGCTCTATAATGCGACATCCTCAGTGCGTTGCCTCATGTGCAAATTGTCAAGCATCTTTGCGGGTTGATGCTGATGCCATTCCAACTGTTGCAAGGTTTGGCCTTCTCGGAACAAGTTCTTCTGCAGAGGAACCATGATGACAGGCTGGTGCGATAGTCCTCGAGTCCAAGATAGTTTTGCTTGAGGTTTGCGGATTGACCGAGACATCGAGCTGAAGAGTAGGAATCCTTGGGGGAACTTCGAGAATTGTCTGTAGCTTGGGCCCGCGCTGAAAGGTGGCGAAACTGAAATGGGAATCACTCCCAATTGTTCGGTCCCGAACCTTTGCGCCGGGGCCTCTTTCTTTTGACATTCGATGTCCATGACAACACACCGTAGCTCCAACCTAAATGAAGATGCTTGCCCCAAATGGACACTCCTTCTTTCGACACCTAAACCCCCAAGCCCGACGGGAGATTTTGGTAAACGGCAGCGTCCCAGGTTTGGACCTGTATCCTGGCTCCTTGCTCTTTGTACTTCATTTGGGTCCGGTGGCCCAGGAGCATGGCTTTTGTTTGGGCTTCTCGTTTCAGTAGACAGCTGCAAAGGTCTTCCCTCATTTGTGGCGGGAAGGCTGCTATGCACTTCCGCTGGCAACTTTGGCCGTGCCCCTGCCGGAGCAAGTGCTACATCTTAGACGATTAGTCATTAGTCCAGCTGTGCTCCTGGAATCTAGTCTAGTTTCTTTCAGTCCCGCGCAAGATCAGGTATTCTTGATGGCGACGGGTTTTCTTCTCGCCACTTGCTGTTCCGATCCTGGGATCATCCCTCGCCGAGAGGTGCAGAAGCGGAGTGGCTCTTTGACTTGTTCATATCGTCCTCAACAGGTGGTTATCGCGACCAAAACTGCTCAACAGTTGCAGGAAAGACTTGGATATGCTGGGACCTCAGACGCGAGTCAGGCCTTGTGCGGGCCTTTTGGCGTGCGGTCCGTCCTTCAGTGTTTGCCATGATGTATGGTTGCACATGCGTGGCTGATGCATTGAAGCCGTCTCTTGTATGCTGGTGTCGATGCAACTTCATCGAGTTAGGGCTACCATCCCATCCGCGCTTCAATGAAGACTGGCTTCCTTTACAGTTTTGTCGTGTTCTGACCGCTGCAGGACTTGCTGGCCAGCGATTCGGTTCCTCTAGATGGCAGGCGTGTGTTTCTCCCGGTCAAGCGGGAATCTTCGTCCGCATCGCCCGTAGCTCCGATCGGCATGGCAATTTCGCGCCTTTGTCAGGGGAGGCGGACGAAACTTGCCGGTGGAACTGACAAGTCCTCCTGCGAGACTTTGCTTCTTCACTAAGAGGATCTACCCATGCATGCATGAACACAGAGCTGGTTGCCAGGTCGTGGCTACAGATGGTGCAGGACATGCAGAATCATTAGGCGATTTGTGTGTGCTACACGTCCAAATTATTCGGGTTAAGTTAGCATCGTGAGACGCGAACCTCGTTGTTCGGGGAAGTCTTTCAAGAGTGCAGGCCGCCACGCTCCTCTCATTGTCCAGACTGCGACAACTGCGTCTTGCGGTACTGCCGTCACAGAGGGTCATATCATGAGCGTGACGCACAAAACTTGCGCTTGGCTTAATCATCAGTCTTGCAGGTACGACCATCACTGCCCCTTTGTCAACAATTGCCGCCAGTTCGCAAGACTGGTCCTTCTTGTCAGTTTTACGCTGCTTTCTGTTTTGCCTTGAGGTCTCAGGGGTGTGTATTAAGTTGACGGAACCGCATCTCAGAATGCGGATTAGTACGCTCAACACCATGCCGGACCTAGAGCAAAGACAACACCGAGCGCGGGAGATCCACGACTGCCAAAACCTCGGTAGGCTCCCTGTAGACTTGTTTCTAGTCTAGTCGAGGTGTTGGGCAGCGCAACTATCACTTTTTCTTCGGCTTTGTAACGTCTGCCGTCGCCTTGGAGAGCTTGGAGCCTCCGGCTACCCGGGAGCCTTCTGCGTGGATTTTTCCCGGCAAGGTGCTCTGCCTGGCCATGATGGTCTTACCGGTTCTGTGCCTTTGCCGTGGTTAAAAACCGTCTATGCTTGGCCAAAAAAAAACATGTTTCTGAGACGCTCTCTTGTGTGCTCGATAGCGCGGACAGCCGAGATTCTGGTTCCTGAACAGCGAGAACTTCGAGGCCCGATCGTTCTTTTGGTGGTTGCAGATAGTTGAAGAGTCATATCTGCTGGCCCTGCCAGTTGGCAGTGGATGGCATGATTCACGTCAGCAGCGGTGCACTTCAGCCTGTCTTCTACGCTCTCATCGCGCTGCTCGGCAAAGTTGCAGATGGAGAGGAAACCATTGTCGTGCTCGGCAGCCACATCGTTTGCAGTTCAGTCTTGGATTCCGAGGCTCGGTGCCCTTGTTGGTATCGCCACGCTTCTCTCTTTCGTGCTTTGGGTTGCGTCCTTGACAAGGGTACCATGCAGGGGTAAGGGCTTCAGTTGGCTGGCCAGATTCTGAGAGCCCTCAAAGAACCTCCCGCGCACAATGAGGTGTACCATGTGTTCCTGATAGCCACGAAGAGGCCGTCCAGGGTATCGTGCGTTTCACCGTCTCACACCGTCCTTCGTCCTGACCTTGCGGTCTACAGAGACCGCTTTGCAGGACAACGAAGGAGTTTCGGAGAAACCTTTCCAACATCGCGGAGGAGCGTCGAGAGGTCGTTTCGGAGTGTTGTTTTGGCATTTGTTTTGCAATGCGCAGGAGCCCACTCTTTGTGCATCTCGAGGCCCTCGGCTCTTCGATCCTGTACTGTCCTCAGATCCACGCCCTGTACGTCAATGCTGTGCTGTGGTGTGCTGTGCATTTTGGATAGAAGGTTTGAGGGGAACATGTTGGTGACGCCCTGTGAAGCTTGCGTATCTGCAATGTCTGCGCTAAGTGGGCACTGGTTGATCCTCGCGACGTCATACGTGTGGACGAAGCCCCGCCTCCGACACCGAACAACTTCTGCACGGACGAGCTGGGAGGGGAACGTGACCTTAGCAATTGCACTGCTTCCCGCATTTAGGCAACCACCTCACTTCTTGGCAGGATTTGTGGAGCTCCTGTTTCGGCGAGGATTAGGCGGACTCGCCACATGCAAGTTTCACTCCACAGCTTGCTAGACGCTGAGTGCGGGTGGAGAAAAACGAAGAATGAAGGTGGAAACTGCAAATGTGGGCTGTCCGTCTACCTGTCTACCTGTCCACATGTCGGTAGTGGCTTCCAAGTTGGTCTAGCTACATTTGGTGGCCTGCAAGGAGATGCAAGGAGTGTGCGCCAGTGCCAACAATCAAGCATCGGATGACCAGCTCTAGTGATACTTAGCGGTTGTGTTTTGGTGTGTTTTGGTGTTAGGTGTAGCTTTTTTGCGTTTGTGTTTCTTAGAGGTAGTGGGTGGGTGTGCTGGTGATACTACATCAATATCCTATTCTCCAGCAATTCCGAGAGCTGTGAGTGATCAATTCTTCTGCCCAACTTAGCTGTGCGCAGATGGAAACCAAGAGCAAAGTCTGAAGGCATGGGTAGAGAGTCGGGAGTAATCATAGTTTCCTGCAGCCTCAAATGCCCACTGTATCAACTCCGGACATTATATCTGAGACGGGACCCTCCAAGGATTGGACGGTTTGGGCTTATGGTTTGAGGCGCGCAGGGCTTTGAGGTGATGGTTTAGGGTATGGGGTGTTGGGCTCGATTAGGGCTTAGGGTTTTAAGGGTTTGGGCCAGCATTTTGTGCTTGGGCCTTTCGTCTCAGCGCTTCCCGGGTTCAAGATTCAGGGGTTTGGAGCTTCGGGCTGAAGGTTGACGGGGCCTTGGGTTCAGATTCAGACGTCCGTCCTGAGAAGCAGAACATTTTGTGGTGCTGCCAGCAGTGGCGACAGGTTCAGGGCTCAAAGCAGGAAGGTTGGAGGAGCAGGGTTTCGACTTAGTCTTCTTTCGTTCGTTAAAGCAGCGTGCACCTCAAAACCCCTGCGTGTCCAACTAAAAAAACCACAAACAGTTACGAAAAGAGCTCCAAACAACATAGGGAAGCGATGAGCTGTTATGTACATATCATTGTGTATTGGTGCACACGTGTATAGTATTTTTTACCGTAGTGCAGTCTATTGCGTTGATCGCTATTCGAGCCCTGGGCCCCGCTCCTCTGTCATTGGAGATGCAACAACAGCCCCGAGTTGGGGAGCTCGTTCTATGGCCTCGGGGTGTGTGTTTTGCACAAGGCCTTCGTGCATTTACCTTTGAGTAATCCATAAATGAAAAGAGCTCCCGCAGCTCCAAAGATCACAACTCAAAACCTTGATCTTGCTCATGTTGGCTCCTAGCTGGAATTCGAGTCTCGGAACAATCAGCATCGGCTAGAAGTCGAGCAGAACATAGATGACGTAGGTGCTAAATGTTGGACGCGGTCGCAATCTTTGTGGATAGCAGCACTTCTGGGCAGTTTATATTGGCATATATTGGCAACTCTGGCGACCTAGAGCACTGAACACAGACGAGTCTGACATGAAAGTCATCTGACCTGATGCCCATCATGTCTGATCGCTGGTCCATGTAGCTACATGGGAGCAGCTGGATTGGTGATCCGATGCGTCCACAGTTCCGCCAGCATCAGACCCTCTGATCGAAAGCAGGAGGTATGTTCCGTTGATTGGTTTTGCCTATGCTATGGCTGACCGTGTAGGAACCGCTGGCTGATACGAGCGTTTGATTGTCAGCACTGAGGATTCCCACTCCCTGTGCCCCGAAGCGTTCAATGGATGAGGAACAGCAGCAACCTCGGAAACATGGACACGATGCATAATTTCAACACGAGCATGAGGGACTTCGTGTGACAGTGCGAAGATTCAGCTTGAGAGGCTGTGCCATCGGTTGCACAAACGACTGCGGATCGGCAGCCCAACAGCGGCACGCCAGTTGGCACACGGCCACTATTCGCAGGCTCGGCTGCAGGTGTAGCGGGCTTGATGGCGGAAGTTGCCGTGCAAAATTCTGGGACACATGCAAGCATGGCTAGCAGTTGGCCGCTTATCTTAAGGCACATGTTGTCTTAACAAACCCGGGGCTGTCGCCACTAAGACTTCTTGTTTCTTGTCGTGAGTTTCCTGGCACTGTTTCGCTCATTCTGTCGCCAAGCAGAGGCCAACAGCGTTCTGCAGCAGCTCCATGCCGAGCATTTGGCAAGGCAACTTCCCCGAAATGATTGACGAGACTTCAGAATATGGACATTTGTAGTAGTCAACTCCGATATGAGAGTTTGGAGCCCCATGTTTGGAGCATCGTCTGTGTAGCATGGAGCTGCAAGCGTCCATCCATGACTTGCATACTCAGCTCGTGCTCGGGTTGCCAATAAGGCGGCAGCAAACGCCTCGTCCTGACTACCCGACGGACACGACGATGACGATGACGCAGCAGGCCTGCTGCGTTCCGAGCTGCTTTGTCCAGCAGCGACCGCGATGGCTTTGCTGCACTCCTGGACAGGCGTGGACAGCTGCTGGGAGTGTGGCTCACAGCGACTTTGCGGCAATGCAACCTGGCCGAATGCTTGGCTACAGAACGTGGCTTCAGCTGTATGTCCCGAGTTTTTTCCTTCGCATTCCTTCTGCCAGCCGCACTGGCTGATAGCTTTCGGGCCCCTAAAAATCCCAACAAGTCGTCCAGCTTTTGCGAAAACACAGAAGTGCCTGTCAGAATGATGCTCGCGCAGCATGTATCGCTGGTCCCAATTGTAGCGATCAACGTGAAGGGCTGGTGGACGTTTTACATCTTTCCATCTCAACTGCTCGCCCACAATGCCTCCACCTGCTTGACCTCCGCGTCGCACTTCCTCTTCTGATCCTCCTTCTGGCATCCGCCCCGCGTGTTGGCATCCATGCGGCATCGTGGAATCACTGTATCCATAGAGGTCTCTCGGGATGTCGTCGGCCTAGTCACGGTCCTAGCTGCACGAGACCCAGGAGCCCCAAAAAACGTTGGTGATGTAGACATAAATCAAGTGACTTGGTGTCCAATGGTACTGTTGTTGCCCTTTGACTGTTCTGTACGCAACTGACCTGGGCTCAAGTCCCCAGAGTATAAAAAGTGCTCTGCAGGGTTGACTTGGCGTTGGTCCCCAACACTGGTAACACTGGGAATGAGAATCAGGACACCAACGTAATGTGGCGGCCCGAATCAACCCCCCCCCCCCCTCCGACCAAAAGTGTTCGGCTCGAATAATGCGGGATCTGGCCCCTGGACCCAAGGTTCGGTAGATTGGGGGCTTTTGGGTTGGTTTGGGGTCTGGGTGTCTTCGACTAAGTTAGAAGGGAATTGGGGGATCGCGGCTTGGGTGAAGGGTCTGCGCTTCTCCGCAGATGCCCGGTCGGGCGGGATAACCAAAAGCTCGAAACCAAGCCCCGATCACTCCAAGATCACTGCCACCACTAAAATCCTTCATTTTGAAGACTTCTCCCTCCAGCCTACACTCCCCCACAATCGACGAAATCAGAGGCCTGGTACTGTACTGTACTGTACAGTAGTACAGTAGTAGAAGAGTAGTACCGTAAGATAGTAGTACAGTAGTGCAGTAGTAGT